ACACACAACACACACACACACACACACACACACACACACACACACACACACACACACACACACACACACACACACACACCACACACACACACACACACACACACACACACACACACACACACACACCACACACACACACACACACACACACACACACACACACACACACCACACACACACACACACACACACACACACACACACACACACACACCACACACACACACACACACACACACACACACACACACACACACACACACACACACACACACACACACACACACACACACACACACACACACACACACACACACACACACACACACACACACACCACACACACACACACACACACACACACACACACACACACACACACACACACACACACACACACACACACACACACATACACACATGTCTTACCCAGTCACGCAAGAACGGCGGCATGCTGTTCACCAAACTTTACTGGGATAAAAAACACCAAACGCCGTTAAAATGGCAGCAAGGCGTTGGCAGCCCACCGCATGCACGAAATGCAGTAATGCAACACCACCGCACGCACTTTGGGTGGTTGAGGGTGTGGCTACTCTTCTCATTCTCCATCCACAATGACTGCTCCGATCAACACTGTGGGCTGCAGCTAAGGCAAACCACGTCGGCGAATGAATGGACCCATCCATCCTGCAAGCTTTGATAAACAGCCGCTCCACCGCAGCCAACTCCCCGATCCCCCAGGCGAACAGCTTCCCACGCCACAGCTCGGGCTTTCGCAGCGCGCCACGCAACAAATCACGACTGCACCACGTGGAGGGGACAACGCCGCCGCGGCCCGTGTGACGCCCTGCCGCTCCCGCCGCGGCCCGTGTGACGCCCCCACCGCGGCCCGTGTGACGCCCCGCCGCGACCCGGCCCCGTCCGCTCACCTGCTCGTACCGCCAGTCGCCGTCACACTCGTCGGCGGTGGCCATCTTCTCGCACTGCAGCAGCAGCCGCGCCATGTTCACCTCAATGCGGGGCGTCGCCATGGCGCTGGTGTTAAGCTCGGGCGGCGCGAGCGGCTTCGGAGACAGACGCCGAGGCGAGCACCTGAAGCGGGAAACGGCTCTTAGCCTTACCGCAGCGGCGCGTCACAACAATTCACGATGATAACGAGCAAGAGGTAACCACTGTGGTAAGTCGTTCAAAATGTCATGATGAGCGCATTTTTGAATAAAGAAGGAAGTAGGTATGTTAGCGAGTGTTCATGGTTCTGTTCAACTATACGGGATCACGGTAGCTTCGTGCAGTCCATTTTCCACGGGTCTTAAGGTGTGGGAAGCATTGCCAGCTGCTTTAGGGTTTCAGCATGGGACTTGCGGCGCAGAAACTGCAGCAGAAATGGGCGGCGTGAAGCGATACAGTTGTGCTTGTCGAAAAAAGAACAAACTGACCAAGCGGCGATTACACCACCAAATCCCGCACGTCAAAGCCTACAAGATGAAGAAGACGCGGTGATTGCTCAAACTTACTCCAGGGAAACGCTACACGCCAAGGCGCTCTCAACAAAGAATCGCCCGCATACAACACCTTCAAGCCAGCTAGCACGCAGCTTGTGCTCATCCAACCGTATGGCTTCAGGATCGAGCCGTTAAGAGCCTGTTCGAGCCTACGGAAACTGAAGAAACCAGGATCGAAACGGCATGCTGCAAGTCAAATCGACGAGGAGTGAGTGAAAACATCGATGTAGCGTTCCAGTGATGCCGAAAGATAGAAGGCCATAGTCTTAACGAAGAGACGCAGAGCAAAGCTAATGAACGGTGTGGCAACGAACCTACAAATTCAGCACGTTCAGAAGATGTGTCGCACTCGCCGTGACTACCAAGGGTAAAGCAGGCTCGCTACAGCTGGTGCCCGCTGCACGAGCACGCGGCTCCTGTCGAGCAACCGACCCGCAGCTGCCTGCTTTGGCACGTCTGTCCGAGCGGTGCCGATCCCGCGGTGCAGTGGGCGGTGCAGTCTGGTCGCCTTCGGCCGACCCGTCCCACGTGTCCGAGCGGTGCCGACCCCGCGGTGCAGCGGGCGGTGCGGTCCGGTCGCCTCCGGCCGACACGTCCCACACCTGTCCGAGCGGTGCCGACCCCGCGGTGCAGCGGGCAGTGCAGTCAGGTCGCCTCGGACCGACCCGTCCCACGTCTGTCCAAGTGGTGCTGAGCCCGCGGTGCGGCGGGCGGTGCAGTCCGGTCGTCTCCGGCCGACCCGTCCCACACCTGTCCGAGCGGTGCCGACCCCGCGGTGCAGCGGGCGGTGCAGCCCGGTCGTCTCCGGCCGACCCGTCCCACACCTGTCCGAGCGGTGCCGGCCCCGCGGTGCAGCGGGCGGTGCAGTCAGGTCGCCTCGGACCGACCCGTCCCACGTCTGTCCAAGTGGTGCTGAGCCCGCGGTGCGGCGGGCGGTGCAGTCCGGTCGCCTCCGACCGACCCGTTCCAGGGTCCGATCACCAGTCACTGGATGGCAAGGGTGCGGCCGAGTAACGACGGGAGACAGCTGTTACTGAGAGATCACAGTTGTGATAGATGAACCACCAAACGGCGCAGATCCGGTGCCACCGCCACTGTGACATGTATACGGGAGCACCTTCACTGGAGGACACGGATGCCGGCCCTCTGTCACCGGAGGACGCATGTCCGGCACTTCAATCACTAGATGACGCAGATCCAGCATCTGTGCTACTGGAGTACGTCAATCCAGCACCGTCGTCACATGGAGATGCAGATCCGGCACCGCCCGCCATTGCACGATGCAAATCCTCCAGCACATCCGTCGCTGGAGGACGCAGATCCAGCGCATCCGTCACTGGAGGACGCAGATTCGGCATATCCCTCATTGAAGGAGGCAGATTCAGCAGATTCGTCACTGAAGGACGCAGATCAGGGAGCCGGCCGAGCGGGCCGAGTCGGCGGAGGCGGCCGTCAGTTCAGACGGCGAGCGCCTGACCACGACGCCGGCGTTGCCGTAAGGCGCATGCAGCAGGTGGCGCCGGTAAGCGCCGAATGAGAAGAAGTTGCTGCGCTGGGCCTCGGCGTGCTGCCGCTGCTGCTCGCGGTGGATGAGCAGTGCCGTGTCGGCGTAGCGGGCCGCTACAGACGCGTCCGGCGCGCCGGCCGAGCCGTCCGAGTCAGAGGAAGAGCTGTCCGAGTCAGAGGACGAGCTGTCCAAGTCAGTGGCGTCCGGCTCGGCCATCGATGCGCCATGCTGAAGAGGCAGCTAACGACGTTGCCCGCACCACAAGCGGTACAGCACTGTCAACAGGAGGTGGCAGAGCAGAGGGGCTGGCTCAGGGGTGACCTGTGAAGCACAGGTGTGGATGGTGGGGCAGCCAACTGACACAAAATGCTCTGGATATTAAGCAGAGGAAGGTGAAAGTACATCCTTGAAACATCAGTGTGTCATATTTTGACAACAACAAAACAATGTGACCATTTGTATAAGGAGAAATCAAATAAGTGTCACACTAGCACATATACAGTAATTAACATTGGAAGAGCACAACTCAAAATTGTTTGAATACATAACCATTTTACTGGCAATAGGCACAGACACTCTCATGCATGGATGATAGTAGAAACCCCACATGTTTCCAATCTCCTAGGTTATGCATGCTGTGGGGACATTTATTGGCATGCTTACTAATGCCTATAAGGATTTGAAAGTATAGGGGATGCACACACCCTTCCCTGTCCCCACCCTCCCTCATCCCTTAAGCAGACCCAAATGACAGGTGTAACTAAAAAGTGATGACAACTTGCAGCATTGTTAAGCACCTGTATCAACAATTGTCCTGAGACTTAATGAAAAACCTTAATAAGCCACAGATGACTGGCCATTATGTAGTAATAACATGATGTGGCTAGGGCTCATTGGCAGAAATTTGTATGGGTAAGAGCAGAAAACTTCACACCATCATAACACTTATGTAGAAAATGTCAGCCATCACCTAAACACACCTGTTATTTATGAATAATGAAGCTGACTGAATTATTTTTACTATCCTTGTATTTCAGTGCACAAAAATGTCAACCAAGTACAATAAATTGTCACAGGCATGGAATACTAATGGGTACTGCATGACCGTTTGCAGCAAGCACGACCAAAAACTCAAACCATCAGCAAAATGCCAATATATTTTTGATTCCATCAGGTCACTGGCCTGTTTCTGATCTACCAAGCTATCATTACCAAGAAACATACAGAGGAATCCCACCTTGCACAACATATCAAGATAAACATCAAAGGATATTGCTATTTTTGGCAATACCTAGCTGTTTTATGCTAGCTTTGTGGAAATATTGGAGGGCATAATTAGAAGATGAAAAACGTGCAACTGAGCATCTGGAGCTTGGTGCGGACTGTCCAAGTCAGCTTCAAAGACGTTGCTCTAGCCACGCTAGGGATCCACTTGGGAAACTTATAAGTCCCAGAACATAACCTGATCTGCTGAGACATGATCTTCAAATAAACCGCACAGCGCAATGATTCACCCGTTTATCTAAACACCAATAAGCCAGATGAGCCTAGAGCCCAAGGCAAATAATCCAAAGTAGAGACGAGCACCAGGGCCTTAGACACTCTCGTTGGTAACATAATCTCATCTCGCACTCACCGGGTGCGCTCCCTCCCGAAAACAGTCGCGACGGGCGCAATGATGCCAAACACGCGATGCCTACACGGCAAACATATAGAGCTGGGCAAGACATCCTGGGAGAAGGCGACAGCTGATACTTCCTTCTCAGCATGGCAAATAACGACTTCGTGAAGCGTGTGAACATACCCGCAGGCGTTTTTTGTGTCACTTGATGAATAACTATCACGCATCAAAATATGATTATTTATTACTTCAAAAATATTCTTGACACATTTTGCGGCCATTTACAGTCATCATTCACGATTTAGGTTGCACAGAACGTGAACTATTTTTATTTGTGCGCCCCCTCCGCACTGTTCTCAGACAACTGGTGGCGGCGATCGGTGGTTTTCAGTTGGGGAAATAGAGGCTGTTTAGGCAAATTGGTGTCGAAAATGCAAAGTGCTGATCACGCGGAGAAACGCTGCAGACGTGAGGAAGATATAACCCCCGGTAAGTTATCAGTAGAGTTAACTAATGCTGATGTTGAGCTTGTGTTGCATGGGCGTTTTTCTAACACGACATGGCTTACCTTTCAGATCTGCTGTACCTTGTGGCCAAATTCTTGGATTCAAGTGACTGCAAGCGATCAGCAAAGGTACGTGACTTCGACGACAAATGTCTCAATGCTGTTCTTAATCGGTGCAGTCTCTAAACTTGTCCCTTTGTTTCAGGTTCTCTTCGAGGAAATCCGACATCTGAAGGTGAGCACAGCACGTCGTGTTCTGCTGTTCAAATCTCGTGCTTGTGCCTGTCACGTGGGTTTGTTTACCGTCACGTCCTGCCCGTGACTTATGCGTACGACAGTAACGTGCTTATGGTCTGTTTCAGTTGGTACCGGATCGCTATGATTGGCTAGGTAACAGACATGAACGAACTTTGGAAGAATGGGTAAGTACTGCATTTGAGTTACATTAATTGATGCTTTGTGCTTTTGTGAAAACGCACATATTGGGTCGTGAGGTCACGATTGCCGTCACGCGTGACCTGCGGTAGCCCTGTCCATGGTATTTATCATGTAAGACTCCGTGGATGATTATGAAGTGATTGGCTGGCGTCCTTGCTTGTTTGCAATACTTATATCTTCGGGCGCCCCACTCCGTCCACCTGGCTCCGTCGGTGGCCGAGAGCTCGCCGCCGCGCATCGTCGCGTCGGCTCTGGCCCAGTGCGGTGGCGGATTCACGGTAAAGTGATGTGTGCCATGGCTTTGACCGCGTCAGCCGGCCGGAATGCGACCAAAGCCGAAGTCTGTGGCCTTAAGATCTAGTTTCCCTGTGGGCTGCATCAGTTTTCAGCTGTATGGTTGTGGGTCGACTCCGGGGTTTTGCTTCAGCCAATGGGAGCGCAGGTTGCCGTGACGATGGGTGGGGCGTGCGCGGCGCCTGATTACCAAACACCCTAGTGCTGGACAGGTATACCTCTGTCAACAAATTGGTAACATTGCATATTCGGTAGTTTGTGTGTGGTAGGGGATTTGTGACGCACTTGCATATTTGGCTAAAAAGTGTAGTTATCGGTATTTGTATAGAAATGATATAGTTTTGGGGTCTAGCCATACTGTAGTGACGTTAAATGCAATACATTGAAAAGCAAATGAATGTGAATCACAATTAGGCCACGCCACATTGTGCGTGTGTGCATGTGTGCGCGCGTGCGTGTGTGCGCGCGTGCGTGTGTGTGTGTGTGTGTGTGTGTGTGTGTGTGTGTGTGTGTGTGTGTGTGTGTGTGTGTGTGTGTGTGTGTTGATCGGCTTCTCAGCAAAATCACAGCCATTTTTAAATTGTTTGATTATTGTGGCGAATTTCTTACCAGTAGGTTTTTTAACGTAGCGATATATTACCTAAATGCTGCTCATCGACGTCTGTTATATCCATTCATGAGCCATGGGCCTTGTTAGTTCGTACATTGACAATGATAATCTTGCATATTAAAGGGAAGCCAAATACATACGTGCTCATACCCTGACTCTTGCGGATGTTGTTGAATCCGCCCGCCATGTTGGGACCGGGTTTTTGGGCGTGATGACCGACTGTCGCAAGGTGTAAATGTCGGAGTTTTAGTACATAAATCATTGAACCCATCCACGCTCCTCATGTGCGGTTTTTGTCGAGTAAAACGATCAGCGGAAAGCTGCAATAGCACCGTTTCGCCTCGGAGAAATTCGTCGACGCAACCGCAAACTGCTGGAAGCATTTCAGATCGTCAAATACCCTCCTCTGGAGACTCATGCGAGGTCGCCGGATCATCGTCCTCAGCTCGGTGCATCTGGCCTCTGTTTTGATTCTTGTTTTTCGGAGCTGCCCACGTCCGTGCGTTTCTACTTTGCGGCGTGGGCAGACTCGGACTTGACAAGATGGGGATAATAAACTACGGAAGCAAGATGGATAAGCGCACTAAGCTGAGCGGAATTGTCAGTCTGGGAGCATTTAATGCGAGTTTTGTCCCTATTTGTGCAGAAAATTCGTACTCTGCCGGTGTTTGCGCAATGAACGGGTGACCGGATTGCGCGACGTTTACTTATGCTGTAGACGTAAAGAGGTGAGCATGCGTATGCCTGGTCTTAGCAATCACGCTCTATACCGCGGTAAGCGACGACACTTGCTAGAAAATTCTGGGGGCATGGTGGACACACAGGCAAAAATTGGACCGCTCCAAAAACCAAAGGTTTGTGGGGCAGGTGATGGAGCCGATAGTAAGAGGAAGCCCTTTTCCTTTTCCTCCCATTCCCCCCCCCCCCCCCCCCTCCGCCTTCATGGAACGACGGCGGGCGGAGCACGCGCATTTTGAGACCTGGCGTCTAGGAGCCGTCCGTAGTGCCCTTGGTGTCGCGACTGCCAGGCGAGCGCGCTTCCCGTCGCCGGTGTGTGTGACGTCACTGGGGCCAGCTCTGACGGCACGCGGTCTCCAGGACCGCCTGCACCCGCACATCGGCGGCCACACGTTGCTGCGGCTATGTGGCAACCTGCTGCCGCTGCTGGACCGGGTGGCGCCCAGCAGCGTGGCGGGCGTGCACTCGCTGCTGGGCGCCGGATCCAACTCCGCCCTGCGCACCGAGCCAGGTCAGTCGATAGCTCGTGCGGATCCGAGTGCGCGCAGCGGCGGCCGCTGGGCCGTGCGACAGCGTCAAACAGTCGGACTTCCTTGGTCCAGTGTGCCCGCGGTCCCACACCGGTGTGCGGCCTGTCCTGAGCTGTTGTCCCTGACTCCGCACGCTCCCTTGCCGGACAGGGGGTCATCTGCGCCACCTGACGGTGGACCGGGTGGTGGCCCGTATCGGCGGCCGCACTCTGCTCGACCCGCTAAGCCTGCGCCACCCGCCCACGCTGCGTGAGTACGGCACCACCACCGGCACCGGCGGTCACCGCATGCTGGCGCCGCACCGTTTGGTGTCGGTCTAGTTCTGGTGCGTCGCTCAGACCTGGAATGGACGTTAGCCTGTGTAGCTTGTGATTTGAGGGGGACCATAAAAAGTCCAAGATTGCAGCGTCCAGTGCCCATGTCATCCAAAATCGTATCGTCCAACGTTAGAAATATCAAAGATGCGTCCAATTCCGGGCCAGTTGGCGGAGTTCATAGCAACCAAGTCGCAACATCCAAAGTCGTGGCATCCAGTGTTCATAACATCCAACGATCACAACGTCCTGTTGATTGGTTTTGATTCCTGGCGCTAGATGCTACTGCATTGCCATATGTTTCCAATGCGCCCCGCTAGATGGCGCACCAATGCCACATTTCCTTACTTTGCAGACAGATGCCTCAGTCAATCTGGCATTCAAGCCATGATAACGTGATAGGTGTAGTGGAACATGGTCAGCATGTATCACCTAGAGTGCCTGGCGGCTGGTGGTCCTACATTTTGTCCTATTATAGCATGAGGTTCCGTAGCATGAGGGAGCGCCACTGGCATCAATGTATTTTACAACGCAGCGTCACGCCTAGGACGCACCATGAAAAGAAATCGTCTACATAAACCTCATCGTTCTCGTTTCGACGGCGGAACCACGGGTTTCATACAGTTACTGACACTAATTACTGCTCTGGCTTTAATCACTCCACTCAGCGAATCGATGGCTGCATATAGTTTTATATGCACATGGTCCTTGATTGAATAATGAAAGGTGCATTTATGCTAGCTCGCCCTTAGCATATGATATGAGTATGTATTGATTCGCTCCCAGTGATGATGAATCCTCCGAGAAAGTTTGAACCCGTATGTGATTTATGTATCGGTTATGTCCATGCTAGGGGCGAGGAGGCAATGGTGAATGCTGCGGTTTGCCAGATGCTGCGAAGACTGTTGTCATGGAGACGACACAAACTCGCAAAGCTTTTACGAATTGATCGGGACAAGCGTAAGGCATAGAAATGATGGACCACGCGATGACGGTCGCCAGGCACGCTCAGGCGGATCAGTGTAGCACATGTCCGTCATCCGGTCCTCTGCGCACTTCATTTTGTATCGCATTTCATTACCGAAACAGACGCAAAACACGGCAATAATTACGTTACCCCATAGATGCGCCGACCCAACCTCTCGGAGACGTTTTGGGCTATTCCACTAAGCAGTGACCCGTGAGAAATGCTCCATCACCACGGACCCACCCGTGGACTTCTCACAAATCAATGCTTTTCCATCAGTCATCAGTTCCATCAAAGACATGATGTTTTCTATCTTCAGATCCAATTGTTATTCCTTTTTAAGTCACACCAGCCCCCACAGCCTGCCGCTGACTGTCGCCGTCTGAGCCTGTCTTCTGCCGCTGACTGCTGACTGCTGACTGCTGACCCTGACCGCTGTGTCCGGCAGCGGTGAGCACGCTGGGCCGGGAGATGCAGGGCTCCTGTTGGCGGCGGCACCTAGTCACCGAGCGGCTCTTCTGCCGCATGCAGCTGCTGAAGCGCACACTGGGCCACCTGTCGGCCGTGTACTGCTGCCTCTTCGACCGCACTGGCTTCAACATCGTCACGGTAAGACGCGTCCCCGGGCCGGGCCTGCACACGCGCGGGCCTGCAGTGCTGTCTGTCAGGGATGCGACGCCTGGTAGATTGCCCCGTTGGAATCGGCTGATGTGGAGCGCCGTCTGCCAAGCTCAGCTTACTTCTGTTCTGTGCCGTGTACTCGGGACCTGGGGAGGTGATGACCCGTGTCCCCTGTGCGTCAGGGCGCTGATGACCGTGTGGTGAAGGTGTGGTCGGCACTGGACGGCCGGTGATGACCCGTGTCCCCTGTGCGTCAGGGACGCATGAATGACCGTCTGGTTGAAGGTGTGGTCGGCGCTGGACGGCCGGTGATGACCCGTGTCCCCTGTGCGTAGGGCGTGTGACTTGGTGGACGTGTGGTGAGGTGTGACCGTGTCCCTGTGCGTCAGGGCGCTGAGACGTGCGTGAAGGGTGGTCGGCGTGGACGCGGTGAGACCCGTGTGCCCTGTGCGTCAGGGCGCCGATTGACTGTGGTGGTGACAGGTTGTGGTCGGCACTGGACGGCCGGTGATGACCCGTGTCCCCTGTGCGTCAGGGCGCTGATGACCGTCTGGTGAAGGTTTGGTCTGCGCTGGACGCCGGTGATGAACCGTGTCCCCCTGTGGCGTCAGGGCGCTGATGACGTGGGTGATGTGTGTGTCGTCGGCGCTGGACGCCGTGATGACCCGTGTCCCATGTGCGTCAGGCGCTGATGACTTCTGGTGATGTGTGGTCGGCGCTGGACGGCCCGGTGATGACCCGTGTTCCCCTGTGCGTCAGGGCGCTGATGACCGTGTGGTGAAGGTGTGGCTCGGCACTGGACGGCCGGTGATGACCGGGTCCCCTGTGCGTCAGGGCGCTGATGACCGCCTGGGTGTGAATTGAAGGTGTGGTCGGCGCTGGACGGGCCGGTGATGGCCCCGTTGTCCCCTGTGCGTCAGGGCGCTGATTACCGCTGTGGTGCAAGGTGTTGTGGTCGGCCGCTGGAACGGCCCGGTGATGACCCGTTGTCCCCTGTGCGTTCAGGGCGCCTGATATGACCGTGTGGTGAAGGTGTTGGTCGGCACTGGACGGCCGGTGATGACCCGTGTCCCCTGTGCTGTCAGGGCGCATGATGACCGTCGTGGTGAAGGTGTGGGTCAGGCCAGTGGACGGGCCGGTGATGAGACCCGTTGTTTCCCCTGTGAGTCAGGGTGGCGCTGATGACCGTGCTGGTGACGGTGTGGTCCCGGCGCTGGACGGCCGGTGATGACCCGTGTCCCCAGTGCCGTCAGGGCGCTGATGACCGTGGATGTGATTGAAGGGTGGTCGGCGCTGGACGGCCGGTGATGACCCAGTGTCCCCTTGTGCCGTTCAGGGCGCGTGATGACCGTGTGGATGCAGTGTGGTCGGCACTGGACGGCCGGTGATGACCCGTGTCCCCTGTGCGTCAGGGCGCTGATGACCGTGTGGTGAAGGTGTGGTCGGCACTGGACGGCCGGTGATGACCCGTGTCCCCTGTGCGTCAGGGCGCTGATGACCGTCTGGTGAAGGTGTGGTCGGCGCTGGACGGCCGGTGATGACCCGTGTCCCCTGTGCGTCAGGGCGCTGATGACCGTGTGGTGAAGGTGTGGTCGGCGCTGGACGGCCGGTGATGACCCGTGTCCCCTGTGCGTCAGGGCGCTGATGACCGTGTGGTGAAGGTGTGGTCGGCACTGGACGGCCGGTGATGACCCGTGTCCCCTGTGCGTCAGGGCGCTGATGACCGTCTGGTGAAGGTGTGGTCGGCGCTGGACGGCCGGTGATGACCCGTGTTCCCTGTGCGTCAGGGCGCTGATGACCGTCTGGTGAAGGTGTGGTCGGCACTAGACGGCCGGTGATGACCCGTGTTCCCTGTGCGTCAGGGCGCTGATGACCGTGTGGTGAAGGTGTGGTCGGCGCTGGACGGCCGGTGATGACCCGTGTTCCCTGTGCGTCAGGGCGCTGATGACCGTGTGGTGAAGGTGTGGTCGGCGCTGGACGGCCGGTGATGACCCGTGTTCCCTGTGCGTCAGGGCGCTGATGACCGTGTGGTGAAGGTGTGGTCGGCGCTGGACGGCCGGTGATGACCCGTGTTCCCTGTGCGTCAGGGCGCTGATGACCGTGTGGTGAAGGTGTGGTCGGCACTGGACGGCCGGTGATGACCCGTGTTCCCTGTGCGTCAGGGCGCTGATGACCGTCTGGTGAAGGTGTGGTTGGCACTAGACGGTCGGTGATGACCCGTGTTCCCTGTGCGTCAGGGCGCTGATGACCGTCTGGTGAAGGTGTGGTCGGCGCTAGACGGCCGGCTTCTGGCGACGCTGCGCGGCGCCGCCGCCGAGATCTCCGACCTGGCTATCAGCCCCGACAACACGCTGCTGGCGGCCGGCAGCTGTGACAAGGTCATCAGAGTCTGGGACCTGCTCACCACCGCACCGGTGAGGTACCGCCCAGTCACGTGACCGTCATTGGCCAAAGGGGACGGGCCAGCCCACCCGACATTACCGGGGTCCAGCAGGGCACTGGGGAGCGAGACTCGCCGCTGGCGGAACACAAGCAGCGGGGAGAAACAGTGGCAGCATTCGCTAGCTACCGCAATGTGGCATGATAGACGTGAAGTGCGGGCATGGAGATAACGCGAGTGCCGAGCTGTTTGAGGCGGTCCGCACGGCGGCGCGTCCTGCACGGTTGCGGTTCGCGTCGGCAGGTGGCAGTGCTGTCGGGACACGGCGGCATGATCACGGCGCTGGACTTCTGTCCGGGTCCGCTGGCGCACCAGCGCTTCCTGGCGTCCACCTCCAACGACGGGTGCGTGGCGTTCTGGAGCTACCGCGGCCGAGCCGGCGCCGACGGCGTCCAGTTCGCCAGCCGACCGGTCAAGGTCAACGAGCGCGTGCGGCCGGGCCAGGCGCAGCTGATCTGCGCCGCCTTCAGCGTCGGCGGCACGTTCCTGGCCATCGGTGGCGCCGACCATCACGTCAGGTAAGGGCCGAGGGAGGAGGGCTGGCCGACACGTGAGGGGCGAGGGAGGAGGGATGGCCGATACGTGAGGGGTGAGGGGAACGGCTGGCCGACAGGTGAGGGGCGAGGGAGGAGGGCTGGCCGACACGTGAGGGGCGAGAGGAACGCCTGGCCGACAGCTGAGGGGCGAGGGAGGAGAGCTGGCCGATACGTGAGGGGCGAGGGAGGAGGGCTTGCCGATACGTGAGGGGCGAGGGAGGAGGGCTTGCCGACACGTGAGGGGCGAGGGAGGAGGGCTGGCCGATACGTGAGGGGCGAGGGAGGAGGGCTTGCCGACACGTAAGGGACGAGGGAGGAGGGCTGGCCGACACCTGAGGGGCGAGGGGAGGAGACAGCTGTCCCACGCCGGCTGGCTCCTTTCTGCCCGTACTGCGGTCTCGTGTTGTCGGGAGGCATGTCAATTTACGCGCCTGCATGTGATTCCGAATGTGTAAAGTAGGTACCCACTGTGACCCTGAGTTCCATACACCTGTGATGTCGCTCCCCCTCGATATCAGCAGGCGACCACGACATCTGTTTACCGGAATGAATGCACCGGGCACGACACGACTCCGCCTCTGGTGCACCCCGGCACGCTTGACCGGCGCGGTGCACTGTATCAGGTGCACCCCGACCGTGTGAGCGTGACCCGGTGACCGTGACCCCGTGGCCGGCCGCGCCGCAGGGTGTACTGCACAACGGGCGTGGACGGACCGGAGCGAATCCTGGAGCAGGAGGCGCACACCGACCGGGTGGACAGCATCCAGTGGTGCCACTCGGGCTGCCGCTTCATCTCCGGCTCCAAGGACGGCACGGCCATCGTGTGGTCGTTCGAGCGCCAGGAGTGGGCGCAGCGCAAGCTCACCATGGACCGACGGCCCGAGTGAGTGCGAGCCGGTCGCGTTTCCCTGGCGCGCGCCGCTCCGGGCCGGCAGGTCAGGCGGCCTCGGGGGGGGGGGGGGGGCTGCGGCCAGGCGGTCGCCTTCCAGGGGTGTTTGGCTAGTTGGCAGGCACCGCATGCGGCACCCCGTAATTGATCAGCCGATCCTCTGTGGTGATGGTGTTCGATTGGCGCCGTTTGTCCCTCGGTCCTCACTGATGGCGTGGTTTGCAATTCGGGTGCCGCAGGTCTGCTCTCCTATTGAGGTCTTGACCTGGCCTCGCCAGTCTGGTTTGTGACGACCGGAGGCGCCACTCTTGTGCCCCTGACCTAACGTGACCTGACCTGACCTGACCTGGCCTGGCCTGGCCTGACCTGACCTGACCTGACCTGATCGGGCAGGTTCCGGGAGCCGCACGATGACGGCCGTCAGCGTCCTCTGCGCGTCACCATGGTGCGCTGGACCACCGACGACTCCCGCGTCATCACCACCGTCAGCGACACCAGCTTCAGAGGTCAGGCGCCCGCCGGACACGCGGGCCGGGGTCACGCCAGCGGGGGGGGGGGGGGGGGGCCTGACAGCCGGGCGTGTGTGTGGGCGTGTGTATGTGCGTGTTTCGTAGCCGGTGTTCGCTGCGCCGTGTGGTCACACCGGCGTACACACTTCGCCGTGGTCGCCGCGCCGCGCCGTGAGCTGGCCTGGCCGGAGCAGCCGGCACCGTGTGGCGGCGCTGACCGGCGTAACCTGCCCCTGTCCGTGCCGCCAGTGTGGGAGGCCGATACGGGCCGCCTGCTGCACGTGCTGGCCGGCCACACGGACGAAGTGTACGTAGTGGAGAGCCACCCGACTGAGCCGCGCCTGGTGCTCAGCGCCGGCCACGACGGCAAGCTGCTTGTCTGGGACGTGCTCGAGGGAACCGTGCTCGCCTCGTTCTTCAACGCCGTGAGTGGTGGCCGGCGGCCGGCGCCGGCCCTCCGGCCCCTCGGAGAGCCGGCAGCGGGACTGATGGACGGCCGGGAGAACTGGGCAGACGCTGCGCAGCCGCCGGGGGGCCGACGATGTCCCGTGCTGGGGCGGGTGCTGTCTCCGCGTGTGTGGTGCGGTGTGACCGCGCGCGCCACCGGTGGCGTGTCAGTAACGCTGTCGCGGCCGCGGCGCTCGCCTGGGTGGACCTGTGCGGTCCGGTGACCGGGCGCCGCCTGACCGGCGGCCGCGTTTCAGATTGAGGGCGAGGGCCACGGCGGCCTGTTCGACGCGCGCTGGTCGCCCTGCGGCCTCTTCATCGCCGCCACCGACTCGCACGGCCACCTCTCACACTTCGGCGTCAGCGGCAGCGACAAATTCAGAAAGGTCAGGCAACGGGCGACGTGCTGCGGGGTAGGCGCTGCGTGATGGTACACTCACTGGGCCGTAGAGCCCTCCCGAGCCGCTCCCTTTCAGGGGCCATTTCCCGGGGAAGTCTTCCGTACGGGCCGCCGACCTGGAATGTTGCCTCCCAGCATGCCGTGGGCGTCGCGTGATGGTCCTTACTCGGCGCGCCGCCCGTGCACCGTTTCTGATAGATGTGTCGGTACTGTGTGCACGCGTCGCGGGGGCAGCCCTCGCACTGCCCGCTGTCCCCTTACGTTGCCGGCCCTCCGTGTCACGGGCACCGCGTCACAGGCGGCTGTTCCTGGCCGCCGGCTGACGCCCTGACCGTGTCCCCCGAGCGGCTCTCGCTAACGCCCTGACCGTGTCCCCCGAGCGGCTCTCGCTAACGCTCTGACCGTGTCCCCCTAGCGGCTCTCGCTGACGCCTTGACCGTGTCCCCCGAGCGGCTCTCGCTAACGCTCTGACCGTGTCCCCCAAGCGGCTCTCGCTAACGCTCTGACCGTGTCCCCCGAGCGGCTCTCGCTAACGCTCTGACCGTGTCCCCCTAGCGGCTCTCGCTGACGCCCTGACCGTGTCCCCCGAGCGGCTCTCGCCAACGCCCTGACCGTGTCCCCCGAGCGGCTCTCGCTGACGCCCTGACCATGTCCCCCGAGCGGCTCTCGCTGACGCCCTGACCGTGTCCCTCGTACGACTCTCGCTGACGCCCTGACCGTGTCCCCCGAGCGGCTCTCGCCAACGCCCTGACCGTGTCCCCCGAGCGGCTCTCGCTAACGCTCTTACCGTGTCCCCCTAGCGGCTCTCGCTGACGCCCTGACCGTGTCCCCCGAGCGGCTCTCGCCAACGCCCTGACCGTGTCCCCCGAGCGGCTCTCGCCAACGCCCTGACCGTGTCCCCCGAGCGGCTCTCGCTAACGCTCTTACCGTGTCCCCAGAGCGGCTCTCGCTAACGCCGGCTGACGCCCTGACCACGTCCCCCGAGCGGCTCTCGCTGACACCCTGACCGTGTCCCCCGAGCGGCTCTCGCTAACGCCCTGACCGTGTCCCTCGAGCGGCTCTCGCTAACGCCCTGGCCGTGTCCCTCGAGCGGCTCTCGCTAACGCCCCGACCACGTCCCTTGAGCGGCTCTGGCAGTCGCTGGCTGACGCCTCGCCTCCGTCGCGCTGCAGGTGCCGTACGAGCAGTTCTTCCACACGGATTACCGGCCGCTGATGCGGGACGCGCGGCACCAGGTGCTGGACGAGCAGACACAGATGGCGCCGCACCTGCTGCCGCCTCCGCTGCTGGTGGACCGCGACGGCAACCCGCAGCCGGCCGCCTGCCAGCGACTCGTGCCCGGCCGCGAGGGCCAGACCGAGGAGCAGCTGCTGCCCGTCCTGCAGCCCGTCAACGGTGAGGCAGCGCCTTGCCGCGTGTGCAGACACTGACGGAGAGCTTACTGTCTGCTGGCGCACCCGTCAATGTTGACGACGGCTGCCCTCCAGGTGGCCATGAGGAGAGGGCTAATCGCCCAGTGGCGGCTGGCCTGCTCAGCATGTTGCCTGCGTAGTCTGTGATATGTCCCAGCCGAGCTGGTGCCATTCCGCATGAGTCTGCAGAGACGTGGCTTTCAGTCTTGCAAACCCTGGTCTCAAGACATGGCAGCAATGTGAATTGGGTGTGTGTATACGGGAGGCCGTCTCGGCAGCCTGTGTTCCGGCCTGGGCTGATGCCCTCCTCTCCATCGCCAGTGGAGGAGGATGACGAGGTGGATGTGGAGGAGCTGGGTCCTGACGCCCGGCAACGCCGCCCCACTATTGACGACATGATCGAGCGGCTGGAGGTGGAGCAGGCGCTCCGTGAGACGGGTGAGAGGATGGCCGCTGGCCCGGGCGCCGACGACGCAGCCGCCCCTGGTGCACGAGGCTGGTGAATGGTCTGGTTGCGGTGTTGCGCGTCCTCCCATCTGGGCGGCCACTTGCCTCGCACTGCATTTCATTCTATATTTGGCTAATTCCCGCAATGCTCGGAGTCGGGAATGGTTGTACCATCTCATTTTCCTAACGCTAATAAACCGGTCAGGGACCTGGGGTTCTTCGTCTGCGTGTCAAAGCGGGGATAATATACCTCCCGATGCTTGACGGCGGTGTCAGAAGCTCTGATCAGGTGTGATGTGCTAGTCGGGTGCTGCTCGAGGCGCCGGTATGATCTCCTGCATCCCCACCTGTCTTAGCTTGTTCATGTGGTCATAAAAACGCCTCCTCCCATCACTGCCGAGACTTCGTGCCGGTCGTGCTGGTTCGAGCCTCACGCCGCCCACGTCGGCAGCGGAGGCTGAGGTGGCCGGCGCCGCCGGGGACGGGCCGGCGGCGGACGCGGCGCCCGAGCGGCCGGCGTCGGCGCCGCGGCTCTCTCAGGACTGGCGGCACCGGCGGGTCGTGCCCAGGCTCACCGAGCGTCAGCAGCAGCGGCAGCTGGAGCAGAGGTGAGGTGCCGCGTCACGGAGGCCGGCCCGCGGCTCCAGCCCGGTCGGCGGCCCCGGCTGGCTGTGTGGCTGTGCACGTGTGGAAGGATTGCCTTGTTTGCGGCTGGCGCTTGGGTTCTGTGAGATATGTGGCTAATGTGGCTGTGGAGGACGTGCTGTGCACAAGCGTATGCATTACCATATTTTCTGCAGCTACGGACCACGAAACTTGGCTGGTCATTGCCTGGATTGGGACCTTAATTTACATGTTGGTTTTCGCTGGGGCTTGCATTGTTTTCTGTTCTGATTTCCGTCTGTTTTCGGTGCTGATTTGTGGGTTGGTTCGGCCCGTCAGCGCCGATGCCCGGTCGCCGTGCGTAGGGCGGCGGCTTGAGCCTGCCTCGCCTGTGCCGTGACCCCTGTCCGGGTCCGACAGACGCCTGCAGGCCGAGCAGGAGACGCAGCACTACGAGGCCGAGCTGCAGAAGCCGCGGCGGCCGCCGTCGCCGGTGGCCGGCCAGCGGCTGACGACGCGCGAGCGGCGCCGACAGCGGCTGCTGCGCCGGCGCCGGCCGCCGCCGGCCGAGCCGGAGCCGGCCGGCGGCGCTGAGCCGCGCGTCACACGGGCCGCCCGCACCGCGCGCGCACCCTTCAGCGAGGACTTCGAGGTGGGCGGCGAGGCCTGGCCGGAGTGTCCGGCGCTCGCTGGGACGGGGCGGGAGGCTGGCGGGGTTAGAGCCTGAGTGTTGGTTGGGGCGGCGTGTGTTGCTGAGGAGTGACATCATGCGCCAGGCTGAACCTACTAGTCAAACGTGTGGCCGCCAGTGCGCCAGGGAAGCGTGGTTGGCACAGCCCGCCCGTCGGCGAGCTCACGCCGGCCGGGAGCGGTGCCGCCGTGTCCGGCCGTGCTCTGGGCTGAGTTGTTGTCCGGCCGCCAGAACCCGGACAACCTGTCGCTGGGGGAGGACACGCCGCACTCGTCGTCCGGCTCGTCCGACTCGGAGCCGGAGCCGGAGCCGCCGCGGCGCACCGACGACAGCGAGTCGAGCGAGTACTCCGACTGGGTGGCCGAGTCGGGGATCGCGCTCAACCCGCCGCAGCGGCAGCCGAAGCGGGTCAGTCCCGCGGCCGCGGCCGGCCCCCGCCGCCGGTTGGTTGTCAGCGGTTCGTTGTGCCTTCCGTGGTTGTTATGACATGGTCTTTCCAGATACATTATCACGAGACTTCTGTGCCTGTGCGCAAAAGCAGCGGTATGCGGCACCTTTTGGTAAGCCTGCCCCAGTCTCCAAATGCCGTGCCTTTCCCCTGATGGCATCCCAGCCCCGATGTGACGTCACCAGTCCCCTTCTGACGTCACCTGTTTGCCGGGCAGCTGACGGCGCGCCAGCGAGCGCTGCGGCGGCGGATCCGCAGCGGCGCCTCGGAGCCGGATCCGGAGCCGGCGGCAGCGGCGGCGGAGGCGGAGGCGGAGCCCCGGCCCGGCCCATCGGGCACACAGTCCAGGCCGGCACGGCGGGCTCCCCCGCCCGGCGCCGAGCGGCCGCTGCCCGCCGCCAGACCCGCCAGAAAGCGGGTGCGTGACATCGGGCGGGGCGCAGGGCGAGGCGCGCGCCGTCGTGGGGAGGGGCGGATTGGGCGGTCCGTGGAAGCGACGCCGTGGAGGGTGGTCGTGTCCGCAGCTGGTTTGAGTAGCGCCGAGTCTCGTAACCGCCGTCGTTCGCGTAGCTTAAGGCGCGTGGCTACGCGCTGGCTGCCTGTGTGTGCCGTATAGGCTGTATCGCGGCTTCACCACGGAGAGCGGGGTCAGCTCGGCGGCCACCGACTGCTGCGTCCGTACCGCGCTCCGTCCAGCCGCTGCCCTGCAGCTCGCCGATGTGGTCGCACGTGTCGCCCTGCTGACCGAAGCGCCCCACACCAGGCGAGAGCGTCCTCTGGCGGTGGTGGCGGCAGCGGCGCTGGAGAGTCGGTGGCCGGGCCGGCTGCCCCCCGGTCTGAGTCCGTCGAGCCGTACGCGCCCTCCACCTGGCTGTCCGAGGTGCTGCCCAGGAAGACGCCCTACTTCCCGCAGATGGGTGACGAGGTGAGGCTGCGGAGGGACGCCGGCCCTCGCCCGGGCCGCGTCTTCGGCTGGGGCGCGGGCGGCGCTCCCGGCTGGACAGGCTCACATCGGACGCCTGCCCACGCTCTGCGCATGTGGTCGGGAAGACCAGGGCTCGCCCTTCTCAGCGATGTGAAGCCGTGGCAATCAGACCTGCGCTCACTGGCGCAGCAGCTTACATCCGTGGAGTACTGATATGTTCGGCGCGAGACCGAGCCGGGCGGGTCCAATAGTTTGCTTTACTCGTACACGTGGTGCACTGGGTCGACCTCAGACAGCTGCTGGGACAAGATCAGATACGCAGGGGTACTGCGTATTGCGCTGCACTCGTCTGGTCGTGGGGGACTTTGTGTTATGCCCTAAGAGCTCCCATGAGTCATCTTTACATATGAGCTCTGTCTCACACAAGTGTCACCAGATAACATTCGCTGTAGGTCCCCCGGCGTCCAGCCGCCTCGGTCAATGACCTCCAGCACAGTGTACATGCGCCACCGGCCGGCGGGCCCTGAGGCGCCAGCCTCGGACCTCTAGGTTTACCCGTGTGTACGCCCGGTTACTGAGCCGGACTTGCCCGTGTATGTACCCCGTTACTGAGAGCGGCACAGCAGTACGCGTGGAACTAAACACAGTGTCATGGGAACGGTAATGGGGAGGGCCAAATGGTGTTTGCGGTTTTTCGACAATGACGTATTGGGGAGCGTATTGACTTAGTAGAGAAATTATGTTGTCTGGAGCGGTCGTTTTCACTTAAAAGTAAAATGATAGTTTTGAGTGAGCTCGTTTTACCATATCTGGTGCCTGCTTCCATATCTTAAAATGAGGAGCGGTCCCTTTTAAGCTGTATTAAGAACATGAGCATATAATTACCTGTCCTGGACCGTCACATACCGTTTCCGTTTTGCGGGACGGGTGATTGTCAGATGGGGCGGACGCCGATCCATACCCACACCGTGCCGAGGTTCGTCGGCTGTAGCGTGCCGCTGTCCACCTGTGGCCGCCGGAGCGCTGACAGCACCTGTGCTCGCAGCTGATTTACTTCCGCCAAGGCCATCAGCTGTACGTGGAGGCCGTGCGGCGGCGCAAGATTTACGAGATCAGCGCCAAGAGCCTGCCGTGGGCCAAGCAGCCGCTGAGGGTGAGCACTTGCTGACTACCGGCCGTCAGCCGGTAACGACGCGTGGCTCCGACGTTGTGTCATATTGGCGCATCTGCTGAGATCGTGTGAGATCGAGGTCGGGTGACTGGCGGAGTTGGCCTGTTTTGGTGGTCGACTGGCCACGGCTTTGGTCGGTGTGCCGCGGTGTGCTGGTGGTGGGTGGCAGCGCCGCGCGGCAGCACAGCTGGGCGGCCGTCGCCGGCCTGCCCTGACGCCCCCGACCCCGTGCGCCAGGACCGGGAGCTGGTCAAGATCATCGGCGTCAAGTACGAGCTGCGGCCGCCCTGCCTCTGCTGCCTGAAGCTGGGCAAGCTGGACGCCGAGACGGGCGCCGTCACCGGCGGCAGCTTCACCATCAAGTACCATGATATGCCGGACGTGGTGGACTTCCTGGTGCTGCGGCCGGCGTACGAGGCGGCCATCAGCCGCACCTGGAAGCCGGGTGAGCGGCGCCGCGGCCGCACTCCGGTGAAGGGGGCCGGCTGGCCTGATTGGGGACGGGCACCGGTGCCGGCGCCGTGGCGGAGGTGGCCGGCTGGTCTAGCCCGAGCACCGGTGCCGGCGCCGCGCCAACGCTGGCGGTGTTCCTCCTGTGACAAACGTATTGGACGTCGGAGGAAGCAGCCAGCCGCACAAGAGCGGGGAGGATTGGCTCTGTCTGTATGATCCCTGTGTGCTGAAGGTGTTTGGCGCTCCACTATTGGAAAACATTGAGTATGAACGTCCCTGGTGGTCGGCCTCGCTTCAAATCGGGAGAATCCGACGCGAGATGAAGCGGCATCTGCGTGCCGTGCTATCGTGTGCGGCCCCCGTGTCATGACGTGTGAGCCAGCATCGACCTCCCGTCTGACGGGACGGCGGCGTGCCCGGCAGGCGACCGGTTCCGCTCGACGATCGACGACGCGTGGTGGACGGGCCGCGTGCTGGAGCGGCGTCCGCTGGACCCAGACGCGCCCGAGTCGCCGTTCCTGTGCTACCGCGTGGCCTGGGACACGGGCGAGTCGGAGCCGCTCAGCCCCTGGGACATGGAGCCGCCCGACCCGAGCCGTGAGTCGCACCGCCCCGCTCCGGCTCCGGCGCCGACGCCGACGCGCGCGGAGAGCCGGCGGAACGCGGACACGCCCGAACGTGCGTGCAGAGGCCCAGAAGAGGACGTGCCCGTGGCGGTGCGCGACTGGTCCTGTCCGTTACACCGGTCTGCCTCGTGCGGTCCGTCGATCGGCGCTGTGTACCGAGCGGTGTGTCTGTCCACAGACCCGTCTGACGACGAGAGCAGCCAGGGCAGCGTGCCGCTGACGGAGGAGGAGCTGCGCGGCGCCCAGCCCAGCTGGCGGCAGCGGCCCGAGGACTGGGCCGACGACGAGCCGCAGGCGCAGATAGACCGCATCCGACACTGTCTGGAGAGTGTCATGCAGCTGGCCATCGCCGAGCCGTTCCTGGCGCCGGTCGATCTCAACCAGTACCCGACGTACGCGCTCATCGTCGAGTACCCCATCGACCTGTCGACGGTCAAGGTGAGCGCCGCTCCGACAGCCGCCGCATGCGGCCGGCGCGCAAGGCTGGGCTGCTGTCGGACGCGTGCGGCGTTTGAGTTGTTGATGTTGCCTCGAGCGTATCGTGTTGAGGCGATCGGGGAATTAGGAAACATGCTGTAGCGGTACTTGGTGTAAAAGCTGCTGTCGTACTGACTTGTGAATTATGTGCGCATTGGTCTTAGGTGACGTCAACATCACTGACGATTCTGGTATATTCAAAAATGAATTGCGCATTCGCGTGCGTCGTTGCACGTGTGTATAATATTGGTCGTCACCGCGCTGGTCCTCTCGTCCCGTCCCCGGGCCCCGTCCGCGCGTCAGAGCCGGCCCTCTGACGGCCGCCGCGTCGCCAGGCCCGGCTGGAGAACGGCTTCTACCGGCGCATCACGGCCGTGCAGTTCGACGTGCGCTACCTGGCCTCCAACACGGAGAAGTTCAACCAGCCGCACTCGACGATCGTGCGCTCGGCGCGCGTCATCACGGACGTGTGCCTGGAGATGATCGGCGACCGCAGCTGCTGGGACCCGGGCCCGCTCTACCGGCGACACTCGCGCGCCGACGCCGGCAGCCGGCAGCGCGGCGGGCGCGCGCCGCTGCCGGCCGCGGCGGCGGCCACCGGCCGGCCGCGCGGCTTGCAGAGGTCGCCACGTGTCACCAGACAGGTGGGGAGGGGGGGGGGCCGGAGAGGTGACCGGCATAGGGCAGCACCGCGGCGGCCACATCGGTGATGTAGGGATGCGGGACGTTCGACGATAGATAATCGAAGGCTGCAGCTGTAAAGCGAATCGATGCTAGAGGGTTGCGGTGGGACATTTAATCTGTAACGGAGCGATGTGGCAAGACGGTAAGCCCGTAGTGGAGGAATACCACATGATGACGTCGTAAAGGAGGGTTAGCACACTATGTCAATGCATGGAACAGAAACCGATGGAAATCAAAGGATAGCAAAACAACACTGGGGGGGGGGGGGGGGGGGGTGCTGAGTGCTCTCGGAGCGGTGCCGTCTTCGCTGGCTCCGCCCGTACCTGGCGCGCCCGTGCGGTGTGAACACGGCGGAGCTGTGCGTGATGCACCGCCGCCCTGTCGGCAGATCGCGAAGCGTCGCTTCGCCGACAAGACGTGGGTGGAACTGTGCATGGAGCTGCTGGCCAACCTGTTCCGGCACGAGGATTCGGTGCACTTCCGTGGCCCGGTGGATCTGGACGCATACCCGGACTACCTGCAGGTGGGGGCCGTCCCACCGCTGGAGCCACGCTCGCGACGTCGGACGCCGGGTGCTGCAGTGCGCGGCTCAATCTACTGTCGCCTGTCAGCAGGCTCTCTGTTTGTATTTGTGGCCGCCAGTGGTGCTGAAGTGATGGTTGCGAAGCCAGAGAAGGGAGTACCGTTGCCCGCAGGCGAGGGCGTCTGTCGGGTTTCGGCAACAGCGGCTCTCGTGACAGGTTGTGTCGCGCACGTGTCTGCGGCGCTGTCCGGGCGTGGTCGGCGCGGCCTGACGGTGAGGTGTTCCTCTCGCAGCTGGTGGACCACCCGATGGATCTGAGCTCCGTGCAGGAGGAGCTCGAGTCGGGCTCGTACGTCTCGCCGCAGGAGTTCTCCGAGGACGTGCGGCTCATCTTCAACAACTCTAAGACGTACAACACCAACAAGCGCTCGACGGTGGGTGCTGCCACCGCCGCCCGGCTCCGGTCGGCGCTGGTCTGGCCTGCGGCTGACGCTCCGGTGGAACGGGTGGATGGTGGGTGGAAGGCCTGTGGCTCCCCGCCCGGCTCCGGTCGGCGCTGGCCTGGCCTGCGACTGACGCTCCGGCGGCGCGGGTGGATGGTGGGTGGAAGGCCTGCGGCTCCACACATGGCGCGCTCTGTTGATGCTTATCACGGTGCCTGGTGTCCCTGGCCCTGTCCTGTTTTGCTCGACGCTGACCGCCTGTGTGCTGTCACCCGCGACGCCGGCGCACCTCCCCGCTGACGGCGCCACCCCCGCTCCGCCAGATATTCACCATGACGCTGCGGCTGTCGTGTTACTTCGAGGAGCAGATGCGGCCCATCCTGACGTACTTCGGCAGCGGCCAGCGGCCGACGCGGTCGCGTGCCCGCCACGCTAGCGACTCGGACCCGCAGCCGGCCCCCAGCCGACCTGGTGAGTGGCCGCCACGCCAGCGACTCGGACCCGCAGCCGGCCCCCAGCCGACCCGGTGAGTGGCCGCCACGCCAGCGACTCGGACCCGCAGCCGGCCCCCAGCCGACCCGGTGAGTGGCCGCCACGCCAGCGACTCGGACCCGCAGCCGGCCCCCAGCCGACCCGGTGAGTGGCCGCCACGCTAGAGACTCGGACCCGCAGTCGGCCCCCAGCCAAACATGATGCGGCGGTGCGGAGGTCGTTTCCCCACAATGCGAAACGCTTCAGAGGGTGACGGCTGGTATAAAACAATGTTTTGTTCAGGATAGCCTGTTGTTACGCAACCGTGATGTGATGGTTGTTGAGTTGTTAGCCTGTTGTTACGCAATGGTTCCGTGTGGGCATAAAACCAGCTGAACGGCCCCAGTAGCCCGTTGTAATCCAGGTGACTCAACTTGTGATTAACTGGCTCGTTTGTGGGTTGTTTATGGGGCTTAGTGCACGTCTTGTCAATTTGTCACATAAGCTGAGTATCAAACTGCGGGATTGCACGCTGCGGGCCTATGTTTTCGGGCGAGACTTGCGATTGCAGCGCCCTGAATGAGAAACCGGTTTGTTGCGATCGAGATCGGGCCGTGCCTACTTTGATGTCTGCCATTGTCTTGTCGACCAGTTCGCACATCTGTTGAGTCCAGCGCTTTCCTGCAAACCCACTCAACAGCGCGAACAGCCGTTTGCACCGAACCCGCATTATCTTCGGAGAGGGGCCACGTCCCGCTGCATGTGCGGCGCCAGCGCCGCGGGATGACCGGCAGCGTCTGCCGGCAGGTTCGTCTCGCGTCCGGGCGCTGCAGGAGGGCGGCCGGCGGCAGAACGGCCTGGCGCACGACTCGGATGAGTCGGAGGAGGAGCGGCCCGCCCGGCAGTGCCGCACGGCCCGCGGTCGGCCGTTTCAGCCGCCGCCGCCGCCCCCTCCGCCGCCGCCGCCCGGCTCCGGCCGGCTGCGCGGCCGCGCGCCCGTTTCGTACGCCGAGGACAGCGATTCGTCGGCGACGCCGCTGCTGGCGCGCCGGGCGCGGGGCGCCGCGGCGCCGGGCGCCGGCCGGACGCGGGTACCGCCGCTGCCGCAGCTGCCGCCGCCGCCGCCGCCCCGGCCGCCGGCCGCCTCGCATCGGCGGCGGCTGCCCGCCGTGCAGGAACCCGAGGACAACGAGGAGGAGGAGGAGGATGAGGACGCATCCAGCAGCAGCTCAAGCTCCAGCTCCGACCCGAACGACGAGGATGCCGAGGAGGATGAGGAGGAGGCTGAGGAGGAGGAGGAGAGTGACGGCGGGGCGACGGCCACGCCGACACCCGCGGCGCCGCGGCTCCGTTCACGGCCCGGCCGCTCCAACTACGCCGTGGACGAGGATGAGGAGGAGCCGACGCCGCGCCGCCGGCACAAGCCCTCCCGCTACGCTCAGGACAGTGACTGGGACGCTGAGGCCGAGCCGCAGCCGGAGCTGCCGCCGCCGCCGCCGCGGCGGACGGGACGGGCGCGGCCGGTGACGACGCGCAGCTGGCGATCCGTGCCCGACGACGAGGACGAGGATGAGGACGATGAGGAGTTTCTGCCGTCGAGTAGTCTCTCCAGGTCGAGCAGAAGTCGGTCGAAGAGGAGATTGGACGCGGCGAGCAGCGACGGGGAGGCGGCGGAAGCGACCAGGAGCTCGCTGAAGAGGGCGAAACGGAAAAGACGACCGGCCGAGAGCGACGACTCGGAGGAAGAGGCGAGGTCGCCCCCAAAGAAAGCGGAGCGGAGAAGACGGCCGGCCGACAGCGACGACTCGGAGGAAGACGCGAGGTCGCCCCCAAAGAAAGCGGAGCGGAGAAGACGGCCGGCCGACAGCGACGACTCGGAGGAAGAGGCGAGGTCGCCCCCAAAGAAAGCGGAGCGGAGAGGACGGCCGGCCGAAAGTGATGACTCCGGGGAGGCGAGACCTGCGCCGAAGAAAAGCAAGCGGAGGCGGCGGCCGGCAGAATGTGATGACTCGGATGAGGTGAGATCTCCGCCGAAGAGAGCCAAACAGAGGCGGCGACCGGCGGAAAGTGACGATTCGGACGTGGTACGGTCTTCACCAAAACCTGACCACCGGAGGCTGCCGTCGGCGGCGGCGGCGGCGGACGGCGAGCCGGAGGCGGCGCCGAGTCGCGCGCTACGCCGGCCCGCTCGCCGCCCGGGTCGTGTACTCGTCTCAGGGGACGAGGAGGAGGAGGAGGAGGCGCCCAACGGAGCCGGCCCGACGCGTGCTAACGGTGCGGGCGGCCGTCGGTCGAGCCGGACAGCGGCAGCGCGCGCGCACGTGTTGATGGCGCTCTCGGACGAGGACGACTCGGACGAGGACCGCAGCGCCCGGCTGGCGCGTCGCTTGGCGCACGCCGACGTCGGCTGGGACGGGCCGCCGCCGGAGCCGCGCCGGCGTGCCTTCGTGCCGCGCGCCGGCGCCGAGGAGGCACCACGCATCGGCATTAGCGTCAGCAGCCGTGGCCGCGTGCGCAAGCTCAACTTGCACGCATTCCTGGCCGACTGACGCGCAGCCGGCCCGCGCCGCCGCCGGCCGCCCCGGCGCCGCGCGCGCTTCGCTCAAGCCGACACGTGACGACGCCTCGGCGTGGGTTAGGCGGGGCGGCCAGACTGCCAGGCACGGTGTCGTCCGCGGGGGTGATGTACTTGATTGATCAAACGGGTGGGCGTGCGTTACGATGCTTCCTCTCGCCGATGTGTTCAATAAACTGTGCGGTGGACGAGCTGGTTGCGTTGTGAAATGACGCCGTATTTTTTGCAGTGAATGTGTTGGTTTACGGACACTTCACCACTCCAGACATGCAGCACCCACCACGGGGGTCTCCAAAGACAGCCGTGCTGTTACTGATAAATGTATTGTCCGGCAGCTCACGCTGAGTTGGCGGCGCTCGCGCGGGCGCGCTGTCTGCGCGCCGCAGCAGAGGGGCGGGCGCCCGCTCCAGGAGAGCGCTGGCGCCCCGTCGTCGCCACCGGTTAGTCGTCAGCCGGGGTTATACAGTGACAGTCGGACGGCGTAAGCTACGTACAGCGGTCGGCGGCGCGCTCGCGGCCGAGGTAAGCACTGCTCTCCGGGCGGAAGCGCAACCAAACAAACAGAAGCGCGGCGCGTTATCCAGATCTGACACGGGGGCGGCCCCTCAGCAGGCGTTATCCAGATCTGACACGGGGGCGGCCCCTCAGCAGGCGTTATCCAGATCTGACGCGGGGGCGGCCCC